GTGGAGTGTATGAACGTGCAGGTGCAAAACCCTCACTGTGAAGGGGACTGTAGTGCTGAGGACACGGCAGGTGTGAGAAGCAGGAGTGTGTCGGGGCCAGAGGAGAGAATGAGTGCAGCCTGTGCAAAGGCAGCTGGGGGGGAGTGTGGACTCCCTGGTGAGGCTGGCCAGCCTCTGCCCATCATGAATGTCGGTCTGATGATGGTGGGCTGAGAAGCTGACCCTCTCCCTTTCCCTGTGCTTCTTCCTTCCCAGGTTCCGCAGAGGAGCCAGCTCCCCGTGTGCCCCAGCCTCCCCCAGAGCCACTGGCTGGGCCTCCCACCCCCATCCCCCGCTCTGAGGAGCGCCCCTCCTCTCCTATCCCCCTTCTGCCCCCACCTAAGAAACGCAGGAAAACCGTCTCCTTCTGTGCCGTGGAGGAGGCACCAGCCCCAGAGCCTTCCCCGGCAACCCCCCAGCAGGTCAGATCTCCTGGCACCAGCTCCCGCAAAGTCCCCCGGGGCGTGGAGAGGACCATTCGCAATTTGCCCCTGGACCACGCATCTCTGGTCAAGAGTTGGCCTGAGGAGGTGTCCCGAGGAGGTCGGAGCCGAGCTATAGGCCGAGGACGCTCCACTGAGGAAGAAGAGGCTGAGCCGGGGACAGAGGTAGACCTGGCGGTGCTGGCCGACCTGGCCCTGACCCCAGCCCGGCGCGGGCTGGCTGCCTTGCCTTCTGGCGACGACTCGGAAGCCACGGAGACATCAGATGAGGCTGACCGCCTGGGCCCCCTGCTCAGTCACATCCTACTGGAGCACAACTACGCTCTGGCCATCAAGCCCCCACCGTCTCTGCCAGCTCCTCGGCCCCTGGAGCCTGTTTCTGCCCCTGCGGCCCTGTTCAGCTCCCCGGCGGATGAGGTCTTGGAGGCCCCCGAGGTGGTGGTGACAGAGGCAGAGGAGCCAAAGCAGCCGCCACGAGAGGAGAGGGAGGAGGAGGAAGAGGAGGAGGGATCCGAGTCCTCCGAGAGCAGCAGCAGCAGCAGCAGCAGCGATGGGGCTGTCCGGCGGCGTAGCCTCCGCTCCCACGCCCGG